TCAGCACGTTCCCGCCGTTGTCATCTCATCCCATGTCATAGCCCCTCCCTCAGGCCTGGGACCCGGCCCCATTATGCTTGGGCACCCCCCGCCCGCCCGCGCTGACCCTCGGTGGGGCCCGGCCGCTGCTCCTGGCCGCGAGCGCCCTTGCCCAGAACCCGCCGGAGACCCTCGTCGGCCCGTTTCTCACCGCTTTCTTCCCACCCTTCTGCCTAGCTCCACCCAGGCCCGGATCCCGGCCCCTCCGCCCATGGTGCCGGGGCCCAGCCTCACACTGGCCGCAGGCTCAGTCCTCGCTCCCGGCCGGCGCGCGCCCCCCAGCAACGCGCCCCGGCCCCGGATGCAGCCTTCTGGCTGGGTGGCGGCCCGGGAGGCGGCCGGCCGCGACGTGCTGGCCGCCGACCTCCGGTGCAGCCTCTTCGCCTCGGCGCTGCAGAGCTACAAGCGGGACTCGGTGCTGCGGCCCTTCCCGGCGTCCTACGCCCGCCAGGACTGCAAGGACTTCGAGGCCCTGGTGAGTAGACTTTCGGGCGCTGCCCCGCGCGTCCCTGGCCACGTGGCCTGTGGAGCCCCGGGCAGAGGTCGCCCCACCGGCGTTAGTAAATATGCCAGCCACCGAACTGTCCTTCGACAACCTGGCGTGGGGGAAGGACACACGGACTCCTTCATGTGAACACTCGCAAGGCACTTTGGTTGCTGCTTTCCTCTTGCTCATGACCAGGGACTCCCAGGAGTTTCTCAGTGAGGAGCTTCGTAGTTGTATAGTCCGCTCCCACGGTGACCATTCCGACTTATGGCGACCCCAGAGGCCAGAATGGAACCGCCGTGTAAGGTGTGTGAGGCTGTGCATATGGAAGCAGACAGCTCATCTTTGTCCAGTAGAGCAACTGTGGTTGAACCTGTCGCCTTGGGGCTAGCAGCCCAAACACTTAAACGCTGCACCAGCTGGTTTTTAGCAGTGGCCAGTCCAGATTCAGCTGTTCTGCTCAATAGGAATGTACCCCTCTCATAGCAAAAGTTACCAAAGCCAGTTGGACCTTGAACTTCAGATGAGAGTCTAGATGGGTGGGACTTTTAAAATTGTTGCACATCGTACACATGTGGTCTGTTATTTCTCTGATGAGTTGCAAGGCACTTAGTGTATCGCTCACTTCAGGGTTAGCATTCCAGATAGCAATTCTCAGTAATTGTCTTAAAAATATTCAAACCCCCACCCAAAAAACATAACAGAATCACTGTCATTGAGTCCGTGCGGACTCATAGTGACCCTTTGTGGGTTTCTGAAACCAACTTTACAAGAGTAGAAAGTCCAGTATTTCTCCCGTAGAGCGGCTGATGGTTTCAAATACCGCTCATACAGATTTCAGCCCAACCCATAACCACTACATCACCAGGGCTCTCTAACAAAGTACAACCTACCCAAGAACTAGACCACCAAAGTAGTCTTATAATCATTAAGACATTGAACTAGTAGCTAAAAATGATCCCTCATGGAAAAACCCCAGGTTCTAACAATCACTGGGGAAAGCCATAATTCACATTTTACATGCATACTTATCAAACTCAAACAAACCCACTGCCATCGAGGCAATTCCTACTCATAGCAGCCCCATAGCACAGGGTAGTTACTGCCCCTGTGGGTTTCTAAGACCGTAAATCTTCACAGGGTAGAAAGCCTTATCTTTTACCCTTGGAGCAGCTGTTGGTTTTGAACTGCTGACCTTGCAGTTAGCAGCCCAATGCATGATGCCAGAATATTAAAAAACTAGCATAACTTTTAATACTAAGTCTGTATGGGCTGCACAAGGGAAGAAAAGAAAATATAGGTCAATATCACTCATGAAGATAAATAAATCTGCTACAAAATATTAGGATGCAGCATTTAGGAAGCCTTAATTCACATATTTATCCTAGGGAAGCAAGATGAGTTTAAGGGTATTAGTTGAATGTTATTGAAAATCATTTAACATAAAGAGTCACATTAACAGATCAAAGATGTCAGAATCAACAGGTTTCACAGTTGTTTCTGATGACATTGTCAGGCCCAGATTGCCTTTTGCTGTCACTACCAGGAGATCGAAGGACCACCCCATTTAGTCCATTGCAGCCCAGCTCATCGCAAGCATGGACACACTCAGGACACTAGCCCAGAGAAAGGAGGGCTGAGGAAGAGGTTGAAACTCTCACAGTTTGAACACAGATCTTCAACTTGCTGAGTTGTGGTGTCATCGGGATTATGGGGATAACTTTCATCACTTCACTCAGTAGGTCTGTATCGTGTATCTGCTCGGCGCCAGGTGCTGAAGGTGATGAGTTCAAGGCTGAGGATGCTTCTAGTTTGGAGGAAAGGAGAGGCTAGAGCAGTGTTCTCACCCTTCCTAATGCTGGGACCCTTTCATATGGTTCCTCGTGTTGTGGGGACCCCCAACCATAAAATTATTTTCGTTGGTACTTCATAACTGTCATTTTGCTACTGTTATGAATTGGGCGACCCTTGTGAAAGGGTCATTCGGTCCCCAAAGGGGTCGCCACCCACAGGTTGAGAACCGCTGGGCTAGAGTGTGGTCAACTGTGTGAGGTCAGCCCAGTACAGCAGGGAAGCCCTGGGGACCGTGAGGGGTGTGTGTGTGCAGTCCAGCTCTGGAAAGTGGACCCCAGGTCAGGGAGGGCTAACTAGGAGTGATACTGACACCATGCTGAGTCCTGAGGGACACAGAGGATTTTGAGGAGCAGGAGAGAAAGGCAACGGTCATTGTGCAGAGCCGGGAGACAGGGTCTCACTGAGCAGGGTAAGCCTGTGCCTCCGTGGAGCTGTTGTAGTAGCCGGATGAGCATACTGGAGCATGCAGGCTACTGAGAGCTGGGGCCTTTATTCTTCAGCAGAGAGAGCTTTTTGAAAGATCCCTGAGGTGCTAGGGTGGAGGAAGGGCCAAGTACTCAAGCTCACCAGACAGGGCACCCCCCAGGATGGGGCTTATCCATTTTTACCCAGATTCATTGCTCCCAGTGGACAGCACGCTCAGGGGCCTCTTCATGATGGGAGGTGTTGGCAAGCTGAATCCCCATCAGAATGTGGGAGAAACGAAACGGGAGCTATGCTTATGTTGTTTTGTTTTTAAACGATGCCAGTAACATTTGGATGTTTTCTTGTAAAAAAATTCAAGTGCCACTAATAATACCGAAGTGGCCCTGAGCGAGCTCCTCTATCTCATTCCCTCCCCAGAGGTCTCTGTTACTCTCACTTTGGGAATACTTGTTTGGTCCCCCGTGATCCCTTTGTTAAACACAGCAACTCTGCAAGCCCCGAGTCACCTCTGTTATTAACTGCCGTTGAGTTGGCCTCTGAGCTATGGCCGCTCCGTGAACACCAGAGCTAGATGTGTGCCTGGTGCTGGGCCAGCCCCGTGACGGAGTGCCGACGGAACTATGGTGATGAGCCACAAGGATTCATTGCACAAGGATTCATTTTCTGAAGTAGACCCTCCCCTCCCCCAGGCCTTTCCCCTAGGGCACCTTACTCTGGAAGCTCCTTGGAAACCCTTGCAGCAGCATAGCCTCATGCAAGCTACTGACAGACAGGTGTGGCTGCACGTGAGGGGCATTGTTGGAACTTTGATTTCAGGAGCCCAACCTGGGTCTCCACGTGGAAGGTGAGATTACCACCACTGACCCACTGCTGCTGCCCCCATGCTCATTGTTCCAGTTCCAGACAGGGCACCCATTCTCACGTGGGCCCCTGGAGAAACATGGACATCCAGAACATTCTTATTGCCCAGTTCTCTTGACATGCAAGCATCCTTCCTTGGGCATCATTTTCCAGGGAAATGGCCTGGTCTGCACTGGCTTTTGGTTGGCGGCCGGGCTTTAATCAGCAGGTTCCCAGGAGAAGGCTGATCAAGGGGCTGGGAGCAGTATGGGCCGGGGAGGGGGCTGCACAGGTCTTAAATCAGCACACTGCAGGTTTCGGTTTGCCACATGATAGGAGTTACTGAAATGAAACAGACAATTTGGTCTCTGGACTTGAATCTGACGCAGCAAAGCCTAACTTTTTATTTTTATTTTTTTTAAACATTTTATTAGGAGCTCATACAACTGTTATCGCAATCCGTACACACATCAATTGTGTAAAGCGCATTTGTATATCATTCTCAAAACATTTTCTCTCCACTTAAACCCCCGACATTAGGTCCTCATTTTTCCCCTCCCTCTCCGCTCCCCCCTCCCTCATGAGCCCTTGATAGTTTATAAATTGGTATTTTGTCATATCTTGCCCTGTCCGACGTCTCCCTTCACCCACTTTTCGGTTGTCTGTCCCCCAGGGAGGAGGTCACACACAGTTCCATGTAATCAGTTCCCTCTTTCCTAAGGGCTAACTTTTTTTTTTTTTTCCCATCATGAAGGAGGTTTATTAAAGAAGTTCAATAGACTAATATTCAGGCTAGCAATGATCAGAATATAGTTGTTTGTTCAGTCAGAACAGTCTGTATCTTTAAAAAAATAGTACAATAACAGTTTAATTGACATATAATTCACATATCACACAATTCAAAATTTAAACCTATTGAAAAGTTGTGTAATCATCCCCACAATCAACTTTAGAACACTTTCTTATTTCTTGTACTCATTGTTATTTAGTTCCCCATTTTCCCCCAGGCTCCTCTGTTTTTAACCCAAGAAAATATTAATATAGTTACTCTCTCTAGATTTTTTCTTTTTTTCAGTTTCATTGGTAAACTTATTTTATTTTATAGGGCTAACTTTTTAAAGAAACAAAATCAGGTCTGGACTCCGACCTGTGAGAGGAAGAAAAGGCACGGAGCAGTTTTAAAATTCACTCTACTTATTTAGCTAAAAGAACTTGGAAGTGATGTTTACACATTGTGTCGTTTTCAGCCATTTAAAATGCATTCTTCCCACGCTGTGAGGTGTCATTATGTACCTATCACACCTGTGTGGCAATTTCCAAAATGACAGCTCTGATGCGAATGTCTCTATTAATTGTTACTTTCCCTTGTGCTGAGGCTTTCACACCGCAGTGCTGTGTCCCTAACCTGGAAGGTGTTTGTTTCCCAGGGGGTTGAGCAATCAAATCACGACATCTGTAGCGCTCTCGGGACATCCTGGCGCTCTTGACCGTTCATTGGCCTTCACACGTCAGAGTTGCACTGCCCTGGACATCGGCCACACTCCTGAGTCACTTGATACGGAATCTTGCCACTGCTGTCAACAACTGTAAAGTCTCCCCTCTCCCCGGAAGTCCCAGGGTAGGATAAAGGGTTAGCATGCTCAGCTGCTAAAGAACAGGTTCAGGTCCACCCAGAGGTGCCTTAGAAGAAAGGCCTGGCAGTCTACTCAGGAAAACCAGCCACCGAAAACCTCGTGGAGCACAGTTCTACTCTGACACACATGGGGTTGACATAAATTGGCATCGACTCCTGGTAACTGTTTTCTTTGATTAATTTTGAACTTTTTTTAAATTTAATTTTTTTGGTAACTGGTTTTCATTGTGTTTTT